TTAACTTGTTTAGTTACCATGATTTTTTTTTTTTTTTAAGGATCCTGGGACTGGTAGCATGGCTCAATTGCCTAATTCTCTGCCTGCAACATCAGCATTGCCCATGAGCACCAGTGTCCCCACTGCTCCGCTTCACATCCAGCTCCCTGCTAATGGTCTGGGAAAGCAATGGAGAGGGTGGTTTGGGTTCTTGGAACCCAACACCCACATGAGACACTTGGAGGAGATTCCTATCTTTGCATTAGCTCAGCTTTGGTCATTGTGGCCACTTGAAGAGAGCCAGTGGCTTGAATATTTTCTTCTTTTCCTTCTCTGTAAATCTGTTGCAATAGAAAATTTTATTTAAAAAAAATACTTCACAGCAGGCACATGTGGCAAATTCAATCATAGCAAGTTACTTTGCAAATATGCTTCTAATTTGCGAAGTCTGGGGTGGGTTAGGAGGGTAAAAGATTAAAAAAGAGGGTAAAAAGGCAAGCCAATGGGGTTAGCCTGGACTGCCAAAGAGGGGAAAGCCTGGGTTCCTGGAAACTTCTAGCACAAAAATAGAGTGGTGTTCTGACTCCTTGGGGGTGACCTGGGGTGACTGAGTTTGTGATGGGTGCATAGAATTCCTTTCTAGAACATTTTATCTGTGAAGTAAGAAATGAACAGATGAATGAATCATGATCTTGTTGAGACACGGTGCTCAGAATGGGGCACTTTCAGCAACATCTATGAGCTTGTCCTGGGCCCTGTTCCTCCCTCATGACCCCCTCGTACCTCGCTGCCCTCTGTCTTTCTATCCCCATCATCACGGCTCCCTTCTCTACCCCTCCCGTATGCAGCTGTGGAACTGTGCATTCTGAATGGGCTTTTCAATGCTGCCCTCGAGCTAATTTGGCAGCTCACTCTTATTTTTCACTCAACCAGCTCTCCACCTGTGCTGTTGCAGTGTGCTCATAGACTAAGTGCATTCCTTTTCAGTGCTGCCAAGTATTCCTTTATAACAGATGCTTTGTTCGGAGTCGGGTGATTTCCGGTTCCTCCCAGTAGACATGCATGCAATCCATGGAAAGGGAGCCATCTTTTTTCCTGAACTCCTGCAGATTTGTGTTTTCAATTCTATAGGAAAGTTATAAGTATGTAAGTTACCTAAATTGTCCCATCATTTAAATCAGCCATAATCTTTCTTTCTAAATAAACACATATATGTACATATAATATACACTAATGTATATGTGCAGCTTTTACTGAAGTTTATTTAGATCACATTTCTCCTAGAAAGAACCATTGTCTTATATAATTATGATTATGCACGAAAATTAATAGTAATCTAGAATATGCGTGTTTTATTACAAATAATACTGTTGAATTCTCTCCAGTATCTGTGCTAATTTATTTTCCTGAATAGCAATGCATAGAAATGCCTATTTCCCCACACATCCACCAGTAACATTTTCTTTAATTGTTGCTAATCAGATGGGTAAACAGTGACACTCTATTTGCATTTTTTAAACAAAACCATCCTCACAGATACATATTTCAAGTACAAGATTTTGTTTTTTCAATTGTCAAAGTAGGAATGAGATTCCTTCTTGGCTTCCAGCACAGGATGATAAACTTGATGTCTGTGAGCAATTTGGAGCCAAGTGCTTGTGTTTTTCTAAGGATTCGGGAAGGAAATGTGACACAGTTCAGTTCGTCGTTTTGTGAACATAGACCTTTCAGCCAAAAGTTTTCTTGGGGAATGTTTTGATATAGCTCTCATGGGACTCTAAAATATATTCAGTGAAGGATTCATAGTTAATATTGTTTTGAAATTTACATGACATGGATGGCTATAGTATGAACATAGCCTACAGGATGTGAAGCTCTTCCCGAAGACAGAATAAATAGGAGACTGGACCCATGCTACATCTCGATACTAAAACTTCTGTTTAGCTTTTAGCAAAATGTCTTAAGCCTTTGAGAGCTGATAGACATGACATGCTTGTAGTCCAGTAGGTGTAGGATTTTGTCACTTTCTTATGCATAAACAAATATTATCTAGTGATTGCTACTAATGCTTCGTGACTATAATTCCAAATTAAAAGTGGATACCCAAAGGCAATTCAACAAATTTGGAAAATAGAATTTTAAGAGGTCTTTTTTTTTTTTTTACAGTTTCAAAGCCCATGTGTAGGTTCCCTTGCAAAATTCCCTTTATTAAATTTCACTTATTCGAGAAGAGAGGGAGAGAGACAAGAGGAGCAAGCTATTGCCTCCTAGTTCACTCTTCAAATGCTTATGAAGACTGGGTTCAGGCCAGGGCAAAACCAGAAACTCAATCTAGGCCTCCCATGCGTTTAACAGATCCCAACTACTTCAGCCATCAGCGCTCCCCACGGTATGTGTTTGCAAGGGCAGGTGTCCAAAGCAGAGGTTAAGCCTCTGTACCAAACATGTGCCTCTGCATAAACTTTTTCAAGTGTGTGTGTGTGTGTACCGTTAGAAAAACCTTCTGAACCATCTTCATCTTAAAGGACAGTTATTGAGTGTTTGCTGTTGACTAAGGGTTTACGCTGTTATTTCCATTTGCCAAATGAGACTTGAAGGTAGGCACGCAGTGAAGAGTAGACCTCGAACTGGAGAGGAAGAATCCCATCTTACCCCTCATGATACGCCCTCTCAGCCAGGTAGATTTTATTTATTGTATCTCTACTCACTGTGCTGCTGTTAGCATCGTTTTTGTCAGTGTATGTTCATCTGCCTTGATTTTCCTGATCATAGTGTTCACGGTATTGAGAGCCTCCGTAAGTAGCTCATTTATCTCCTATCGATACGCATTGAATCTTCTCTTAATTCTTTTGCTATTTTATAGAAAAGTACTTCAGTTTTTGGAAAATGGAGTTGCAAGATAAGTTTGTTTCCGTAAACCTCTTGGAGTAACGTTTTTATAGCATGACCGTTAGATGATTTCTTTTGGTTGCATTTCCTAAAAGTGGAGGGTTGGAATGATATAACATGTTTGGAATAAGGCTGATACAAGCTGGCATAGTCCCATCCTGGTTGCTATGAGAATAAATACACATGGCTACCTGCTTCCCTATGAGTCTACGATCATTGGGTTTTGTGTCAACTTCATATTTGTAGCAGATAAAACATAGTATGTCATGGTATTAATTTGCACTCATTATAGTGATGTCAGCCAATTTTTACATGCACATTCATTTTCTTTTTGTGAGTCATCTTGTTGCACTTCTCATATTTTCTATGGATTTTTAAAAAAATAATTTGCAGTATAAATTGTATTAGAACAGGATGTGAAGAATGTAAAATCTGTTAGAAAAGCTACCTTTACTGGGATTTTTGCTTTGTTATGCTTTTAATTATGTATTTGGTATTTTGTTGTTATAATCATCTGAATTCCCCCCATGCAGTATTAAGCAAATCCTCAATCTTCTTGCACTATGTTTATTTCATGGTTGTGCGTGTATGTCTGGGATTCGCTTGGAGTGTGTTTTGCTGTGCCATATAGATCTCATTTATCTTTACCGTATGATTAGGATCTAATCCCAACACTGTCGGATGCCATTCTTGAAGATGTTAGATGCAGCACTGGAAATGGCCGAGTCTCTGCTGAATTCCTTTGTCGGCTCTGTTCCTGCCTGTCTCTTGAGCAAAGACAGCTTGAGCAGAGGAATTGATCACATGCTAGAGTTTGGAAGAATAGAAACAGCAAGTAGTATTGGAGACTTTGCCATTTTGTTAGTGCTAAATATTTATGAGGCTCCCTTGGTTGACGTATGGGAATAATTGGCCTCTGTAAAGCTCGTCTGAGGTTTTGGCCTGTCTTTCCCCTTTCCCTCTGGGGTGTGTTGTCTCAGCAGGCACATCAGCACTGGGTGAGCAGGAGCAGTCCTCACTGGGGTTATCATAATGACCCTTTAGAAAATTCTCATTCAGTTCCCTTTGATCTCCTCCCAGTAGCTTTGTGTTACACTGTTCCATTCATTGGCAAGACTTCTGTTACTTGATGCTGGCTGGAAAATCAGAATGCCAGTGCTGTGAGCATTTTAATTGCAGCGCTTAACAAGACTGATTTGCTACTACAATCTGTAAATTCTGGGGCATTTAAAAACGAAGATAAGGTGAGAATAACTTTTTTTTAAAGATTTATTTTTATTATTATTATTTACTTTTTTATTGGAAAGGCGGATATACAGAGAGGAGAGACAGAGAAGAAGATCTTCCCTCCGATGATTCACTCCCCAAGTGAGCACAACGGCCGATGCTATGCCGATCCAAAGCCAGGAGCCTCTTCAGGGTCTCCCATGCGGGTGCAGGGTCCCAAAGCTTTGGGCGGTCTTCGACTGCTTTCCCAGGCCACAGGCAGGGAGCGGGAAGGGAAGCCGGGCTGCCAGGATAGAACCGGCGCCCATATGGGATCCCAGGCGTGCAAGGCGAGGACCTTAACCACTGCGCCATCGCGCCGGGCCTGAGAATAACTTTTAAAATTGTTTCTCTGATGTCGCAAGGCAACTTGGAACATAATACTAGAACATTCTGGAAGTGGTTGTCCGTGCTTGCTTATTGAGTGAATTGGACCTTCCATAACTGGTTCCTTTATTAGAGCAGAGCATAATTATTCTTTGTGAAGAGTTCTTGATGTTCTTAAAGGAGCGGAATGTGAGTTTTACAAGTATATCATAACAAAGATTCCAGCTCAACTCTTTGGAATAATCTGTGCTTGCCGCACAGCGAGTGCGGGGCCCAGACTTGAGTGTTAGTTTTCAGTTCTAGATCCAAAAGTATCAACAAATTCTTCAGTTTTTTTACCAAAAGACTTACCAAAGATTTAAAAGCCTTAAAACCTTGAGCATATTCCTCCTGTTTTTCTTTCCAAGCTGTTTTCTCAGATTTTGCTCATCTTAGTCTTTCAAAAGTATCAACATTGGTTCACTTTTTTTTTTTTACCACCAACTCCCCATCAAGCATAAAAAAATAGCAAACAAGTAATTGTCCAGAATATGCATGCCTTATATTTTTTTATTTTACAATGGAATTTTTAGAAATCATTGGTTACTTTGAATTTCTTTATAGTAAAGGCCATACAAATACCCTCCTTAAATGACTGAAGATATTTTTCAGCAAACATATCAAGAGAACGAAACGATTATCTGTTGTGGGGGAAAAAACACAGAAATGGCACCAATTTTTTTTTATTTGTTGCTTTCTCAAAGATGCTGCTCCCATCTAGTGGAATCATATTCCCTTCTATGTCTGCCTCTGTATTTCCTCCTGTGGAACTAGAGTTGACCATGCTTGAGGAGTAAGGGAGTGCTCCACGGGTGTTAACCCCACTCTGGAAGCTGTTGACTTTGGTCACTGGAGGGTGGGTGCACGAGTTTGATAAGGCATGCAAGTTCTGGTCCCTGGACCAATTCGTGTGTCTGTAGCAGATGTTCGCTGTAGGGACAGGCTGTGATGCATTCAGGGTGAGTTTGTGTCAGTCAGTGGTTGACCAGATGTCACAATCCAGAAGAAAAACAATGAACGGCTTCTTTATAGAGTTTGACCTGTGAAACATAATAATTGAAGCATGGCTCCTCCAGGAATCCAAGAAGTTCCAGAATTTGAAAAATAATAAGAGAAGGAAAATGGTCGCCAGAGAATGTGCGGTCAGCTATATCAAGGAACATCAACCAAGGGTTCTTGATTGTGACTGTTCGCTGACTTTTTTTTGTTAATATACATTTATATATTGGAAAGTCAGCTGTACAGAGAGGAGAGACATTTTACCCCATTTTACATCAAATTCCCTTCCTTGGAGATCTTGGGATATTTCCCCTTATTAATCGCTGTTTGGAAATTCTTCTCTGTTTAGCTTTTGTGTCTCCTACAACTAGAGTCGTCTCCCCAGCCATCTCAGAAGGAGCGCAGGGACGTGGTTGACACTGGGATGAGACGAGAATAGTCCTTAGATAATTCTGTGCTTGCTGCATGCCCTGGAGAAGCAGCAAAGGAGCCCCTCTGCATGACCACAGCATCCCAGTTACTGATTGACCAAAAAAAGGAAAAGAAGTATGTTTTCCCCTAAAAGAATGTCTTCGCGTGTTTAATTAGTCCTTGCAGCTACGTTAGACTGGCTTTTGTTGGAAAGCTTTCCCTCATAAGTAGGTCACTGAAGATATAATTAATACAGATAGTGACTGTCGCATACCCAGATTTCTTTGGGTTGAAATGACCTCTTTTTCTTAGGTTTTCCCACTGTCTGTCACAACACAGCCAGCTGGGTTATGTTGCTTAGCTGGTTCTGTTGCCAGGGTGCTGTCAATATAGGAACTGTGTCAGCAGCTCCCACAATTTTCTTACTCAAAATATGAGCTGTTTTCCTCTAATGTGGAGGTGGTATGAATAGGAACTCTGGCTGCTTGTGTATTATCTTTAAAAATCTAAAACAGATTTGTGTATTTGAAGGAACTACAAAGAGCAGGAAAAGCCGATCTTTCATCCATGGATTCACCTCCGGCTGCAACTGCCAGCACTGGCTCCGAGTACAAAAAGGATCTAGGAGTTTCTTCTGGATCCCCCACATGGGTGACAGAAGCCCAAACACTTGGGGGCACCCACTACTGCTGTTCTCCTAGGCCTTTCACGGGGAGCTGCATCAGAAGTGGAGCAGCTGGGACATGAAATGGTGCCCACATGCAATGCTGGTGTCACGGGTGGCTGCTGTACCTGTTTTCTTATACTGTGTGTTTAAGCAATGAGTTGGAATTGTAGTGTCTGACGAAGCTGTAAAGATGCCCCCTCCCACAGTGAGGCCAGTTATCCGTAGGATGGCCAAACTCTGTTGTCCACACTAGGATGCTTCTGAGCATGAAAATGGATGCTATCACCTTGGTTCAGAAGGTGTAAATTAGACCCGTCTTGGGCAATGAGGAGGTATGATCGTTCTGACACATCATTTGAAGCCCTTCTCATTCCCCTCTTGTGTCTGTTGGCCACAGAGGTCGTTTAGATCCTGTGACTGATGTTCTGAACGGTATCCGCTTCAGCTCTCACTTCCCTCCTTGCTCTGTTTAAATCATACAATCAAAAACGGAGTGGAACAGTGGCTTCCCATGATAGCTGCAGAAAGCACCACAGGCCAGGAAGGTTCTACTGGTCTGTGAAACTTGACCAGCTCCATGCCTTGGCTCCCAGGAGCCTGGCCCTGGATTGTAGGGACACTAAGAACAATTGAGTTTTTGTTTCTGTGTCCTTGGTCTGACTGCTGGAAGGGATTTATTTTGCTTTGGCCTCTGTTTCTGGCTCCTGACAGCAACGTTTTATCCCCATCCGTGAACCTTTCTGTGTATATAAAATTAGGTCGAAACTTGAACCTCATATTGCATTTTCAAATCTTGAGCTCAGGATTTGGGTGTTGACATTTTATTGGCCCTCTTTCAGTTACATGCATCTCAGATTTCAGTTACTTGGTATCTGGTTGAGATTCCTGGGTAGCATTTCGGAAGCTGCCAGAGAAAGGGGAATCTACTTGGACATTGAAAAGAGGAACAGTAAGTTCCCCACATGAAGAAGACAATGATTCCTATGTCAAATGCTTGTCAAAATGTGGTAACCAAATCACTGGTGATGGGCAAGATGTTTTTAATTGAAACAAATCTTGCTTCATTGTGGCAAATACTGCGTTTTCACTTAAGACATCCATGGGTCCTTTGAGCACATTTAAAGAAAAGCTGAACATAAATAATCATACAGGTGGTAGTTGGATGTGCCAAGAATCTGCAAGAGAGGTACACAGATGAGAGAGGTTTGAAAACCGTTAGAAATCAAGAGCCTAAAGCACATGTCTTGCAGGAGAGGTCCCAGTCCAGCATGGTCAAAGATGCACATCCATACCACCACCACCACCACCACCACCACCACGAAGCTGCAAGCTGTCAAGATGAGCTTTGCCTTGAAACAGGCCCCCAGCTATGCGTGCATGGCTGCCCAGAGAGCAGCACACCCTGCGTGTTCTGTTGAAGCTGCACCTGAGCTTCTACTCTAGAAAGGGAGACAAGTGCCATTTGTAGGTCAAGGGAGACAAAGGATTCTGTGATGAGCTTTACAGAGAGAGACCCAGGAGAGGCTGGGAGTCTTGGAACAGAAACTGCTTTCTCCCATGATGAGAGATCACAGCGCATAGTGGCAGAAAAAAGGACAACAAAATTCTCATTTGGGGCTGTGCCTTGCCCAGAAGCCATCCACTGACATTATAGAGGACACTTGCAGCAGCTAGGGGCTCTGACATGATGCAAGTTTGAAAGTGCAATCCTCTGTCATTCAACAGCAGGGTAGGTTGTGAGAAATGGATTACTGGGTAATTTCCTGGCTTTGCAAACATCGCCGTGTGTACGTACACACCTGGGCCGTGCGGTACAGCTTGTATTGCTCCTGGTCTTGGACTGTGTGCAGCATATTACTGTAAGGTGACTAACACAATGCCAGGTGCATCTAAACCTTCAGCAGACACTGGGAAATCCTAGATCGTGGGCATTTTCAGCTCTGTCCTCATCATGGAGGATGGTGCTCATGTACACAGTCCGTTGCTGACTACAACAATAGCATGCAGGACAGAGGCATACGTACAGCTGTGGCTGGGTTTTCTTTTCTTTCTTTTTTTTTAAGATTTATTTTTATTATTTTGTTATTGGAAAGGCGGATATACAGAGAGGAGAGACAGAGAGGAAGATCTTCCGTCCGATGATTCACTCCCCAAGTGAGCGCAACGGCCGATGCTATGCTGATCCGAAGCCAGGAGCCTCTTGCGGATCTCCCACGCGGGTGCAGGGTCCCAAAGCTTTGGGGCTGTCCTCAACTGCTTTCCCGGGCCACAAGCGGGGAGCTGGCTGGGAAGAGGGGCCGCCGAGATTAGAACCGGCGCCCATATGGGATCCCAGGCGTGCAAGGCGAGGACCTTAACCACTGAGCCACCACGCCGGGCCCGGGTTTAAATATGAAAACTGTGAAGCCAAAATTCCCTGGAGAAGGACAGTTTCCCAACTGATAACTGGCACAGAACATGGGAAGGAAACTATTCTTATTTCCTACATGTTCGCACTTCGGGTCAAGAATGGAAAGCCTTCTGGGCTGTGCACTCCTTGGCACCTCTAAGGGAACCCGTTTGACCTAATGCTGAAATTCACCTTCCAGTCACAAGGCTCCTCACTGCTGGTGTGGAGCAAAAGCTGTTCCCAGCAAGACAGCTGTTGGTCTCAGTGTGAGTTTAGACCTAGCCCCTGGAGACCTAGACCTGGAGCCCCTGCCAGCCTGTTGGTTTTGCGGGGGATCAGGTGAGAAAGCCTCATAGATGCCGGAAACAGGGAGGACCCAGTCATCCTCCGGTATGTAACTGGGCATAGGCAATCTACACAGCCAGGCTGTCGGCAGTTATAGTCACATCTTCCAGATGCTTCTTCCCCTGAGTACTTCCTGTGTGCACAGATGTTATACTCGGGGCAGGCGAGGCAATCGTTTAGATCCTTTTCTTGATTTGGTCCAGTTTCCGTAGCCCTCCTCATCGCCATCATTGTGGAAGGATGCCCTCCTTTGCCGTCACTTCCCCTCCACTCCCCTGCTTGCTGCTGGAACCGTGTCACTGAGATGAGGGTCCTGCAAGCTAGGGGGACAAAGGCTCAAGTGTCACATGCTCTGTGGTGACCAAAGGGCTGGGCTGTGGTAGTTGGGTTGGGAAATTTTCAGTAGAAAGTGGTCCCTGCTGTAATGATGGGTGCTGTGTATAGCAACCTAGGCTCAGGCCCCGATCTTCCAAGCTGAGTCACTTTGGACAACCAATTTAATTCTCCCAACACTCAATTTCCTTTGTGGGAGAAGAAGATGCTGTGTGGGCGTGTTGAGGTTTAACTGGAATGAGAGACCTTGTCCTCTCTGAGTTTGTTCTCTCACCCACAGCTTTGGTGGTGTGTTCTATCACTCCTCTTGACCTTTGCTGAGCCATTCTGTGCTCTGCATGTGGCTTTTCACTCTCCCCACCCCCAAAAAACTTCAGAGTACAAATGAAGGATTTTTAAAATACTGATATTTCTCAAATACATTTGTATCTTCTCTCATATTTTTATTTACAAACTGTTTAAAACTTTTTTTGTGAATAGTTCATGTCTGAAAGCTATAGCCCGGTCTTTTTGGAATGACGTGTCAGGGCTAATAAGGTTAGATTTCACCTCTACCAGGACAATGAACCTTGAGACTGAACTTCGCTCTTGGCATAGAATTCTGGGCTGTCTTGAGTGACTCTTCTGATTTGGGGGTACATGGCTCCTTGAGGATGCGTGTTCTCTGTTCATCTCAGCTGTTTCATGTGTGAAGTATGGAAACTGAGGCTGGGTCCAGGAAAAAGGAAGGTGTTCTCTCCTGGGACCTCATCTGACAGTTCGCCATCTGCACGTGCTAGATGGGCTGACTGTGCAAACCAGACATTGGAGTTGCCAGGACAACCAGGGTCTGGGGAGTTTCCCGCTGTTTCTCTGCCCAGACCTGGGGAGTGCCAGGGTACAGGCCATACTGCCGGAACAGGACAAGATAGTCACTTGATTACTCACATTCAAGACACCTCTTTTTTTCTTTTTTTTTTTTTAATAATCTTATTTAGTTGATGAGGGTACAAAGGGTCAAGGGCTACAGGAAAATGGGTAATACCATTGTTTCCACACTAATATTTTTTCCCCTGTATCTGGGGTCAGGGGAGAAACGAAGGGAAAAGCCCCACCCAGCCTCCCACCCATCCCAGGTCCCCGATGTGAGGCACGCTCCGAGTTAGTTTCCTCATCTCTGAACTGGAAAGCCAGCACAACCTTGGCTCTCTGCAGGTGGAAGGGACATAACGGGGGGACTGTTTGTTGATTCCCCCACCCCCCGTTGAAGATGCCCCTTCTGCGTCTGGCAGAAGGTGCTTGCAGGATAGGTGGGTCACTGGGGTTCGGCTGTGCACTTTAGAGTCCCCCACTAGTGCCTCTGCTCATGACTTAGGGTTGATTCTCTGTCGTTGGAGTCCTGGTGAAAAGCCTTGCTGGTTTCTCTTGCTGTGACTCAGTTGGCTGAGTTGACTTAACCCCCCGAGGGCCAGGTGTCTCATCTGTAAAAGGAATTGATAGCAACAGTTTGTGACTTCTTCTGAAGGCCTCAAAGAGAAAACACGGCACAGAGAGATCATTCTATGCTGTATCATTTTCAGCAGTGGATGGGTCAACCACAGGGATTACCGAGACTCGACCCATTGTGGGTCAGGATCAGGGATGGAGACAAGCATTTTCCTGGACTGAGAGCAGCACTGCCCTGTGGCCTAAACCTCAGTGAGCCTCAACAGGCCCTTACCAAGCCCATTCCCATCAGCCTGTTTGTTGTGGAATGGGCTAACACTGCCAGAAGACCCATCCTTGCTTAGTGTGTTCCCTTTCAGGCCTGCTGACCTTGCTGTTTCTCTTTGTCTCACAGGGACTGGTGAGAGTGGAAAGAGCACTTTTATCAAGCAAATGAGAATTATCCATGGATCGGGTTACAGCGATGAAGACAGGAAGGGGTTCACAAATCTGGTTTACCAAAATATATTCACCGCCATGCAAGCCATGATCAGAGCGATGGACACCCTGCGGATTCCATATGTGTGCGAGCAGAATAAGGTAAGGTGCCCCATGGGGTACTGGCCCTGCCTAGGACAACCCATTCCTCCTCTGGTTAGTTCACAGGTCAGGACAAAGATTTCCTGAGTGCTTTAATCAGTTGCCGGAAGAAACTGGTTTGTTTCTTCCCATGCATTGCTGTTAAATTCGTAAGCTTATGTCCTCCAGTCATGGCTCTCCATGAGTGTTCACTCTTCAGCCAGCCTGTCTCCCACTGAGGGATGTCCCTCCTGGCCCAGGATGGAGACAGCGATGGCAGGTGCTGCATGTACAGTTTTCTACTTTGGGAGGGTTTGATGTATCGTTGTGCTGTGTTAGTGTCCAGTCCTGGACTCAAAGTCCTGCTCCATTCACCAGCAGGTGCAGCCTTGCTATGCAGCATGCTGCCTCTGATTGGGGAGGGGCAGTAGAGGAAATCCCTTGGCCTTCAGCAGTTCAGGCCTCAGCTCCTGCCCTGGGAGCAGGGACTGTGGAACTCTGCTTGGTGCTGTGTGTTACTGTGGCACATCTGGTTTTAGGCCTGCTACCAAGGTCTGGACCCAACTTTGTCTCCCTTCCCTAAGCAGGCATCTCTCCACACTATGCTGCCTGCAATTGGGTCTTGGGAAGAGTAAGGGGTATCATGGTCATGCTGTATTTTCTGCTCTCTCATATCATACAACATCATCTGGCTTCCCTAGCTCTTACAAAGGTATATTGGTGGGTGAATGGTTGTTTAAGTTAGGATCTTGGAGGAGATTTGATGCTGGAGCATCTTACAGAGCCATCACGTTGTTACACTCCCAGCAGGAGCTACTGGGCTCAGCCTCTGAGAGAGAGCTTGAGAAGAATGAGGTGAATGTGGCTGGCCCCGCAGTGTTGCTCGGACAGGAGGCTGTCATAGTGTGACATGGTGTTAACCAATGTGCAGTCATCAGAGATTTGGTAGCTATCAAGTTTGCTTATTTCAGGCATGAAGAGAACAGTCATCCCCCCCCCGCCCCCGCATCAGCTGAGAGGCCTAGGGAATGATGGTGATGTGAAATTTACAACGGCCAGCTTTTTAAGAAGTTTCGGTCTCAATTTCACAACTGCGGTGTAGACTTCGGCAGGAAGTCAACGGGCTCCGCTTGTCGGCAGGAGCTGGGCCCTTCTTGAGAACTAGGAGATGGTTTTCAAGAACATGCTCATGTCTCAGCCAGCAAGGTGTCCTCATGAGGTGACGGTGGCAAGCTGGCACATGCTTTCCTGTCACCGCTTGATTTCCTGTCACACGGATTTGGGCACTGGGGTTGTGTTTGGAATGCCAGGATCCCAGATGGGCATGCTGATTCCAGTACCAGCCACTGCTATTCTAAACCATCTTTCTGCTAAAACACACCTGGAAAGGCAGCAGATGGTGGTGCAAATGTTTAAGCCTTTGCCACCCATGTGGGAGCCCAAGATTGACTTCTGGTTTCTTGGCCTTGACCTGGCAGTTGTGCTCATTTGAGAAGTGAACTCCAGCAGGAAAGTTCTCTCGTTTTTCTTCCTTCTAAATGGATAGAAAGAAGACAGATAATTTTTAAGAACAAAGTGTTTTAAGATCAGAAGAAAATAAGAGGGTGAGAGGATGGAGTGAAATAGCCCTCATAGGAAGTGCAGTTCATTGGTTTTCCAATCATGCGACCTGGTCAGGTTCAGTAATCGGGAACCTTCCTTCATTGCCTTCTAGAAGCAATCCATGATTCTGTTATTTTTTTATTAAAGATTTCATTTTACAAAATTTTTATTGGAAAATAAGATATACAGACAGGAGGAGAGGCAGAGAAGATCTTCCGTCCATTGATTCACTCCCCAAGAGGCTGAAATGGCCAGACTAGGTCGTACAGTGGTGAATGTTCTAGTGTGTTTGGTAATCAAAAAGCTTGCTACGTGTTATCTTCACAAAGTAATCACGTAACCCGAAACAATTGATTAGTTAAAAGAGGGATGGAGGAAATCTTAACTACCCTCTGTTTTCATTCGGGTGCCATCCTTCCCTCATTTCCTATCACTGAGTATTTATTTCATCCTGTTGTCATTCCCTCCCACCCCACCCTTCTCCTTCAGTCTAGGAATACTTAAGAGTGTGTAGAAAGGAATTCAAAAATTATATAGAAGCTTGGTAATAACCTTTTATCAACATTTTAATCTTAATTTTATGTATGACAAATTTTGCAAGAGTTGATTCACTTCTTATAACACCAGCAGAAGTTAAGACTGGGCCAGGTTGAACCCAAGAGCCCAGAATTCTGGAGCTGGGTCTCCCTGATGCGTGGCAGGAAACCAAGCACTTGAGCCACAGTCTACTGCCTTCCAGAGTGTGTTGGCAGGGAGCTGGATCACAGAGGGGCTGGGAATGGGACCAGGCACATGGACATGGCAGGTGGGTGTTAGTAGGGAGCTGGATCACAGAGGGGCTGGGAATGGGACCAGGTACATGGACGTGGCAGGTGGGCATCTCAAACCATGCCTTAACCACTGCTCTGAAGGCCTGTGGGGGTGTTCATTGAAATACCAGTGAGATCTTTGCTCGGCTCACTTGTTGAAAGATCTCTGCCTATGACTTGGCAGACTGCTTATTACAGGAAATTTATTAGAAATGCAGTCAAGTGTTTGATTTTTAACCAACATGCTTTTTCAGTTAAGATGTAGTCTGGAAGAGGATCTTCTTATATCTTGGCTGCTTTTTCTTTGGAAAAAAAAATGATTCATGTGTATTTGTTCACTCTGTAGATAAGCCTTAATTTTTATGAATGTCTCTCAAGAGTATTTTATGAGCACATGTTAGAATGTATGGCTTCTTGAATTTACTGGAGAGGCATTTGTATAGTAGCAGGGCTGCTACTCCCCAGTGTCACTGAAGGCAGAACAGCTCCGTGTTCAACACTGTTGGTAGCACCTTGTCCCTGGGCAGCTCTGCAGGTGGCAGCTATACCTGCTATGCAGTCTGATTTTTTTTTAAATAAAATATGCATTTTCCATGAACCTTCATATGCATGCATTTCAAATTTTTACACCAAATTTTTACACCAAAGAAACTTTTATTTTCCAGGAATTTTTTTTTTAACAAAAAAGATTGATTCAAAAGGCAGAGTAGGAGAGAGAAAGAGAGAGAACTTGCATCTATTGGTTCACTCCCCAAGTGGCCATAATGGCCAGACATGGGTCAGGCTGAAGAGAAGCCTCCGGTGTGGATGCAGGTGTGACGTCATCAGCTTGCCAGATGCCTCAGCAGGGAACTAGATCAGAAGTGGATCCGTCAGGATGCAACCAATGCCCTTGTAGTATGGCAGTGTTGCAGGGAAGCCACAGTGCTTACCCCTCCAGAAACTTTCTCAAGTTTCTCTGTGTAATGCTGCTGTTGAAGTTTTTCATTCTCAGAAAGTAGGGGACTGAATTTCCGGTGAGGAAATAATGCAACATGACATAGGGCATGTGGTATCCACAAAAGTGAATGAGGTGCACCCTGTCCCCAAAGATGATAGGCTTATCTGTGAGGTTATTTTAAGGACACCGTTTGTTCTGGGAGCTGCTGGGTCTCCCCCATCACTGCAGGCCTGTAACAGCACAGAAGAGAAAAACCAAGAGGAAGCAGCAGAGGCCAGATGTGTTACCTGTTCAAAGTATTGCACATGTTACCTGTGTCACCAACCCATCTTATAATATATGGTGAGCTCCCTAAGGTTGGGGCTGCACACACCCTAATAAGGGAGATGAATGTGAGTGAGCACCAGGCATTCTGTGCCAGACTTGATCAGGAGCACATCATTTCATGCTGACCCCTCCCCATCACGGGGGCCATTGGCTGCTCCCGCTTCAGAGATAGCCGTTGAAGTTCCTGAAAGTTGAACGGTTTGCCTGTGTTGACACAGGCGTGGTCTGTCAGAGCTGGAACCTAAATGCTGAACAGCTGGCTGCAGAGCCCAGTCAGGGGGTGTTCAGAAGCCACGCGTGTGCTAGCTCACAGAGGAAGGTTTGAGCACGAACACGGGAAAGGATGTGAATGAGGGTGGTTTGTCTCTCCATCTCCATTCCCAGCCACTTCGGTCAATCCCTTCTGCCTGGCTGGGCCCCAGCTCTCCTCCATGCCTGTCACTGTCATCTCGCTCAGTATTTACACAAGGGCCATGCAGGCAAAGCTAGAAATGTCAGGAGGAGCGGATCCAGTGGTTGACAGTTGGGGGTTGAAGAGCTTCCCATACAATGTCTTTGGAGCGCTAGCAAAGGAGTGTATTTTTAATTTTATTTCCCTAGAAAAGAGAAGTAAACAAGCCAGAGATAGTTTCAATTTGAAAAGTAAATTTGAAAGAATCAAAGCATGGCAATGACCTTTGAATACGTGCCAGCAAAGAGGAAATAAAAGCCGAAGAACATGTTCAGACTGAAGCAAAATGGGATTCATTTTAGCCGGCACATGTTCAGAGGATTACACTTTTTCTAAAGAACATTGTAGAAAAGTGTGTGTGTGTGTGTGTGTGTGTGACAGAGAGAGGAAGAGGAAGAGATGTATCACATTGTAATAAGTGTAAGAAGACTACAGAGAATGTGTGTCAGATGACATTACAGCCAGAATACCTAAATGTCTACACACACAAACACACACACACTCACACACACACACACACACACACTTCTGTTTTAAATAACAATAAAATCATAAAAATGCTTTCCTATGGGATAAGAGTGGAGTTGAGTGGTAATTTTTCTGTTACATTTCATTTACTTAAAAAATATAAATGTAGGTGATTTCTAGAGAGAAAAATGTCATCACAGTTTACTTCATTTTTTAATTACATTTCCCTGAAAGCCAGCGAGATAGATGGAGGGGTTTTGCCTATGCTGGGTCACATCCCAAATGCCCAGAGCAGCTGGCACTGGACCAGGCTGATGCCAGGAGCTAGGAGCTTCCTAGATCCAGGTCTCCCAGGTGAGTGGCAGGGAAATGCTTGAGCCATAACCTGATGTACTTTAGTAGGAAGCCAAACAGGGAGTAGCCC